GGCCCTGGTAACCACAACACCCAGAACAGAGGAGGAAACTGCTCCCGCCTACCCAGCTCTCCACACCCAGCCCTCTGCCTGGAGCCCTGCCGTAATTGCTGGATTAGATCAGCCCCGGATTTCAGCCAGGAGGGCAGGGCCTCAGTTGGACACCGGTGTCTTTGGGATCCTCAGCTTCCTCCTGAATCATTCCAGAAGGTGAGGACCTCATGGTCCCATGCTCTTCCAGAGGCCTCCCCCCCCCCCCATCACCTTAAATAACACTCATCTGACCTTGAGCAATAGCAGGTGCCTTCCACAAAGTCTAACCACCTGCCCATGGCAGGTCATTTAACCCCCTTTTCCTTCCCTTGCCAGCAAGCAGGGGCACTGGGACCCCTTAAAAATGCCCTGTGGGCTGGGCACCGGTGGCTCATGCCTGTCATCCTAGCTACTCAGGAGGCTGAGCTCTGAAGCTCATGGTTCAAAGCCAGCCTGGGCAGGAAAGTCCATGAGACTCTTATCTCTCATGAATCACCCTAAAACCAGAAGTGGAGCCATGGCTCCAAGTGTTAGAGAGCTAGCCTTGAGCAAAAAGAAGCTCAGGGACAGCACTCAGGCCCTGAGTTCAAGACCCACGGCTGGCAAGAAGAAAAGAAAAGAAAGAATCCTGTGGCACTAACCAAAATGCTCTTCTGGGGATGTGGATGAGAAAAAACCCCTACTTAACCTGCAAAACCCAGCCTCATCTCTCATCCCCTGCCAAGGACACGGGCACCTTCACCCTTCACCATCTGTGCCAGAATTAGCCATGCCTTCTGCTCCTGCAGTGTTTTTCCATATGCTCTGATCTATCATCTGTCTACCTGGTCCAGATGCAATGCAATCACCTCCAAATATTATGTTTAGCTCGAACAGTAGTGTGTGTGTGTGTGTGTGTGTGTGTGTGTGTGTGTGTGTGTGTGTGTGTCTGTCTGTCAGGGAGACAGACAGATACAGACTACACAGACTGTACATATATATAAAGAGAAGCATCCTATTTTCCATTTAAATACAAAAACAATCTTCCAGCTTCTGTTGAAAACATTTGGGAGATACTGGGAATGTAGCTTAGTGGTAGATGCTTGCCTAGCATGCCTGAAGCCCTGGGTTCGATTCATCTGTACCACATTCACAGAAGAAGCCTGAAGTGGCGCCGTGGTTCAAACGGTAAAGTGCTAGCCTTGAGCAAAAGAAGCTGAGGGATAGTGCCCGGGCCCTGAGTTCAAGCCCCAGGACCGGAGAGAGAGTGAGAGACAGAGAGACAGGGACAGAGAGGGAAAAAAATGGGAGATCAGACCTCAAGGTGCTAATGGCTCATGCCTATAATCCCAACCACTCAGGAGGCTGGTATCTGAGGATCATGGTTCAAAGTCAGCTCAGGCAAGAAAGTCTATGAGACTCTTATCTCCAATGAATTACCCAAAAAGCTGGAAGCAGGGCTGTGGCTCAAGTAGTAGAGCACTAGCCTTGAGTACAGAAGCTCAGGAACAGCGCCCAGGCCCTGAGTTCAAGCCCCATGACTGAACCATACACACACACACACACACACACACACACACACACACACACACACATCCTGACAACTTAGGCTCTTCTTTACCTCTCATGCTCCTCTGCTGTAGCAGACCTCAATATTTCTTTCAGGGCAAGGCGTGTGACCCCCTTCATTTGCAGTGTACCCCTACCCCACTTTACTTTTTCCTTCTCATTAAGAGACTCACCCAGCTCGGCAGACATTTGAGTTTTTAAGTTGCTTGTAAGATTTCCAGGTGGGGACTGGGAATATGGCTCAGTGGTAGAGTGCTTGTCTAGCATGCATGAAGCTCTGGGTTCGATTCCTCATTACCACATACACAGGAAAAAGCCAGAAGTGGCGCTGTGGCACAAGTGGTAGAGTGCTAGCCTTGAGCAACAGAAGCTCAGGGACAGTGCCCAGGCCCTGAGTTCAAGCTGAGGACTGGCAAATAAAATACAATAAAGATTTCTCAGTGCTGGTAGCTCATGCATGTCATCCTAGCTACTCAGGAAGCTGAGATCTGAGAACTGTGGTTCAAAGCCAGCCCGGGCAGGAAAATCTACGACTCTAATCTCCAATTGACCACCCAAAAGCCAGCAGTAGAGGTGTGGTTTAAGTGGCATAGCACCAACCTTGAGAGAAAAAGCTAAGGAAGAGCATGAGGCCCTAAGTTCTAGTCCCAGGAACACATGTATGAACGCACACACACACACACACACACACACACACACACACACACACACACACACAGAGTAATAGAGTAAATGTGATCAAAACACATTGCACACATGAATAGAAATGTCAGGATGAAACAAACCCCCTATTATATACAATTTATTATGAGCCAATTTTTTTTGTTTGTTGTCAGTCACGGGGCTTGAACTCTGGGCCTTGGTGCTGTCCCTCAGCTCTTCAGCTCAAGGCTAGTGCTCTACCACTTGAGCCACAGCGCCACTCCTGGTTTTCTGAGTGGTTTATTGATGATAAGAGTTTCATGGATTTTCCTGCCTGGGCTGGCTTTGAACTTCGATCCTCAGATTTCAGCCCCCTGAGTAGCTAGGATTACAGGCGTGAGCCACTGGCGCCCGGCTATGCAGAACTTTTTTGTGCATGAGGAAATTATTGTTTTCTCGTGACAGATAATCTCTGCGTAATTCTTTCCAGTCTTTTCCCCACTGAGCCTCCTCATCCATTTTATTTTCTCCTTTGTACACAACCGGGACACAACACAAATTGCTCAGAGCCTAACTTCCTACCCTTCCCTCCCCTGACTCACATTTGATCATCTTACAATTACTCTCACAATTACTCCGCCCAGATGCTCTGCTTCCGCTTAGAGACGGACAGACAGGTAGTGATTTCCCCATCGCTGGAAATAGGTTGCCTAACCCCTAAAAGGAAATGACCCCCAGGGCGTTTGTATTAGTCAAGTGATCTCAGTGACCCAAACAGAAGCCAAGCCCCCAATTCCATCCCAATCTGAGATTCTGGAATTCCTCTGGCATGAATGTGTTTTAGCTTTTAGTGATTCCTCCAGGAAGTCCTCCCAGACCCAATCCCATCCTCCTTAGACCCTTCTCTCTCTCTCCCTCCCTCTCTCTCCATTTATTTATTTATGTGCTGGTTTGGGGGTTTGAACTCATGGCCTGAGTGCTGCCCCTGAGCTTCATTCCTTCCTTCTTTGTTTCTTTCTTCCTTCCTTCCTTCCTTCCTTTCTTCCTTCCTTCCTTTCTTTCTTTCTTCCTTCCTTTCTTTCTTTCCTTCCTTCCTTCTTTTCTTTTGCTCAAGGCTGGTACTCTATCATTTGAGCCACAGCTCTACTTCCAGCTTTTTTTTTTTTTTTTTTTTTTTTTGGTGATTCATTGGAGATCAGAGTCTCATTGACTTTTGTGCCTGGGCTGGCTTGGAACCCTGATCCTCAGATCTCAGCCTCCTGAGAAGCTGGGCTTATAGTCGTGAGCCACTGGCACCCAGCTCTAAGTGATTATTTATTTATGTATTTATTTATTTTGGTCGGTCTTGAGGTTTGGGCTTGAACTTTGGGCCTGGGCACTGTCCCTCCGTTCTTCAGCTCAAGGCAAGTACTCTACCACTTGAGCCATAGCAAGGATTTGACAAGAAGGAGAAAAAGCAAAATCTTTAAAATATCAGAGACAGCCCAGCATTGGTGGCTCACCCCTGTCACGCTAGCTACTCAGGAAGCTGAGATCTGAGGGTTATGATTTGAGCCAACCTGGGCAGGAAAGTCTTTGTGACTCTTAATCTCCAATGAACCACCAAGAGGCCCAAAGTGGAGCTGTGGCTCAAGTGGTAGAGCACTAGCCTTGAGCAAAAAAGCTCAGGGACAATGCCCAGGCCCTGAATTCAAGCCTAAGTCTACATCAAAAAAGAGAAAGAGAGGGGGCTGGGAATGTGGCTTAGTGGTAGAGTGCTTGCCTAGCATGCATGAAGCCCTGGGTTCAATTCTTCAGTACCACATACACAGAAAAAGCTGGAAGTGGTGCTGAGGCTCCAGTGGTAGAGTGCTAGCCTTGAGCAAAAGTAGCTCAGGGACAGTGCCCAGGCCCTGAGTTCAAGCCCCAGGACCAGAGAGAGAGAGACAGAGACATAGAAAGATCACTTTGTACCTTTGAGCTCCTTATCCTCACACATACAACTGAGGAAATAATGCCTTCTTTGTAAGAATATGGCAAGAAAAGGAAACAAAAAATACTGCCGGGCACTGGTGGCTCACGCCTGTCATCCTAGCTGCTTGGGAGGCTGAGATCTGAGGATCATGATTCAAAGCCAGCTCTGGCAGGAGAGCCTGTGAGACTCTTATCTCCAATAAACCACCAGAAAACCAGAAGTGGCGCTGGGGCTCAAGGGGTATAATGCTAGCCATGAGCTGAAGAGCTGAGGGACAGCGCCCAGGCCCCAAGTTCAAGCCCCAGGACCGACCAACAAAAGAAAAGAAAAAGAAACAAGATCATTAATTTGAAAAAAAAAAACAACACCAAAAACCAACCAACCAAGGTCAGAAACAACCCTTCCACAGGCAAATGGCATTATCTGCATGTATACCAACTTAAAAAAAAAAAAAAGGAATTGTATGAGGTGGGGAGGGTGGGTGGGGTGTGGGACTTGAACTCGGGGCCTGGACTCTGTCCTGGAGCTCATTTTCACCCAAGGCTGGTGCTCTAGCACTTGAGCCCCATCTCCCCCCCACCCCATCCTCCCCCCACCCCAAGCCTGATCCTCAGATCGCAGCCTCCTGACAGGCTCCCAAAGGCACAGTTTGCCTCTTTCTGGTCTGCAGGCGTGCGCTGCTGCGGGAAGTCTGCAGCTCAGGACCTGGCCCCGGCGGGCGTCCCCGAGGCGGCGGCGCGGCTCTGCGGGGATTTACGGCCGGCGGCGGCCGCCCCGGCTCGGGCTCCGGGCTGCAGCTTCCAGGTTCAGTTTCAGGGTCCCGCGGGCGCCCCAGCCCGGAGGGGGGTACGGCGGCGGCGGCGGGGCGAGGGGGCGCCCGGACCACAGCGATTTCTGGGGAACCCCTGGAGTTCCCCCCACCCCCACCTCTCCCAGCCCAGGCAGAGGAGGATGGGCAGCGGACACAGCGGACTGAACTGCTGCCACCCCCCCAAAAAGGTAAACAAGGCAGAACGCGGGGTGCGCGTGGGGAGGGGGGGAGAAGTTTGCTTGGAGCAAAGAGGGGGTGCGGGGGTGGGCTGGGGGGGAGGGTGGTGCCCCTGGATTCCCTCTGGTTGGCCGGGGGGGGGGGGGACACAGCCGGGGAGGGGGGCAGAGGAGGAGGGGTCCCCCCATCCCCCCCCCCCCCAGGCTGAGTCCACGCTTGGGGCGCCCAGGCCGGGATCTGTGGCTGACTCCTGCCGTCTCGGCTGGGCTCTGCCCTCCTCCTGCTCCTTGGCAGGTGCCCTGGGCCAGGCTTTGGCTCTTGGGGGGCAGGGGGGTGGGGGGGTGCTCAGGACCAGACACTGGCTTGTTTGGCTTCTCTTAGGGTCTATAATCATGTCTTAGGGTCACCCTCCCCAACTTCAGACGGTGGCCCCGGCTACCCTTGCTGCTTTGGCACTGACTTTGGGACTTGTTAGGAAGTGTGACCACCACCCCCCTCCCTGCACCCTCCTCCCACCCACCCCCCCATCCCTGTGCACCCCCCCCCCCAACTCCCCAGCTTGGGTTCTAGGCCCTACTGGGCTGGCCTGTGCGCTGCCCTTGGGGGTAGTTAGGAGAGGCCAAGGGGGAGATCAAGGCCTTCAGCTGGCCCCTCTTCCCTTCCTGCCCCCCCCACCCTCCCCACTGCACCCCGGAAGGGGCCTCAGAGCTGGGTGAGTAGGGCCCAAGGGACTCTGCTCAGGTTTCCTGCACCGGGATCTTCTACCCCTTGACTTCTGATCCGGCCCCCGTGAAAGGTCAGAGCCTGGAGCTGCAAACCCCCACCCGCAGAACCTAATGTGCTGCCCGACCACCGGGAGCCACAGACAATGGGGGAGAAGGGTCCCCAAGGGTCAGCCTTTCCTCCCTCTACAGTCTGCCTAGCCCCTCACCCCCACCCCCCCAAGCTTGGCTTCTGCAAAAGGAAAAAGTTTTCTGCCTACTGGGAAGAGGGGGGGGGCTCAACACAGGCTCCAAACTGGGGGGGGTCGGTGCTCCCCCTTTTCCCTGACTGATTTTAGTCCAGGGAGAAAAGTTCCAGTGGTTAAAAAAACAAAACTGTTTGTTTGTTCGTTGTTGGTAGTTGGGAGGCTTCGAACTCAAGGCCTGGATGTCGTCTCTGAGCTTGTTTGCTCCAGGCGAGCGCTCTACCACTTGAACCGCAGCTCCATTTCTGGTTTTCTGGTGGCTCATTGGAGATAAGAGTCTCATGGACTTTCCTGCCCAGGCTGGCTTTGAACTATGATCCTCAGATCTCAGCCTCCTGAGTAGCTAGGATGACAGGTGTGAGCCACCGGTGCCTGGCTTTCTTTTTCTTTCTTTTTTCGGTGGGCATTTGAACTCAGGATCTCAATCATGTCAAGCAAGGGTGCTAACCTCTTGAGCCACATCCCCCAGGTCTCGCTTTTTTTGGTGGTTTGTTGTTGTTTTCTTTTTATACCCTGCCATAGTGTCTCACTAACTTTGCTTAGGCTGGCCTCCAACTTGAAATCTTCCTGTTTCTACCTCCTCCAGAGTAGCTGGGATGATAGGCATGCATCACTGCACCCAACTCCAGTTGTTTCTTCTTCATGGATACAAAGCCCTTTGGCACAAAGGCCTTTACCCTAGTTATCTTAGAACAAACAGCCAGGGCTTGCTGGGCTCAGTGGCTTGTGCTCTTGTTACTCTGAGCATCTGTGTTCACCTTCTAGGCTGCCTCTTGTCTAAGTGTGTGTGTGTGTGTACGTGTGTACACGTGTGCACATGTGTCCCAGTACTTGCTCTTCAACTCAGGACCAGGTATTCTCACTTGACTTTTTCACCCAAAGTTGGTGCTCTCCCACTTCAACCACACCTCCACTTCTGTTTTTTGCTGATTAATTGGACATAAAGAACTCTTGTCCGGGCTGGCTTTGAACCAGGATCCTCAGATCTCAGCCTCCTGAGTAGCTTGGATTACAGGCATGGGCCACCCAGGCCTGGTTTCTAAGCCCTTCTCCACAGTGCTAGCGTGGCCACACCCCAGAGGAGGCCAGATAGGTGGAGGCTGAGTGGGAATCATTCCTACTGGGGCCATTCCTGTGTAGCTCCAGCTGTTAGGCCAGGTGAGAGGGAGGAAGCTGGTAGTGAAGGACGCCTGCCTACCCATGCGCACACAGTGCCTATTTTAAACAGAACCCATCTTAAGGACACAGGCCTTAATCTGAATGTATTGATTCTTATGCCAGTCGTGGGGCTTGAACTCAGGGCCTGGGTGCTGTCCCTTAGCTTTTCCACTCTAGGCTGGTGCTCTACCACTTGAGCCACGCCTTTACATCTTGCTTTTTGCTGGTTCACTAGAATTAGGAATCCCACAGGCTCTCCTAGTTCAGTGTGTGCTGAGTGTATGGATTCTTTTATTCACTCGGCACACATTTCTGCCTCCACCACAACCAGGCTCTGGGCTTGAGTGCAAGTTCCCTTTCAACTGAATTCCATAATAGCTGGAAGTGTGACCTTGAAACTGTGACCTTGGAGCTGGCTTGACTTCTTTGTGCCTCTGTGTGTTGTGTTTGTTGTCTGTTCATGTGCTGTGGGCCATGCTGCGATTTGTTTTGTTTTGATTTTTTGATTGGTCGTGGGGCTTGAACTCTGGGCCTGGGCACTGTCCCTCAGCTCTTCAGCTCAAGGCAAGCACTCTACCACTTTGAGTCACAGAGCCACTTCCAGTTTTCTGGTGGTTTATTGGTAATAAGAGTCCCACAGACTTTCCTGCCCAGGCTGGCTTTGAACTGGGATCCTCAGATCTCAGTCTCCTGAGTAGCTAGGATTACAGGTGTGAGCCACTGGCACCTGGCTAACTTTATTTTTTCAGATGGGGTTTTGAGTGTTTACCTGAGGGCTAGCCTCAGATCCCAATCCTCGTACCTTCACATCCTAAGTTAGCCGGGCCTACAGACCTGTGCCACCACACTCAGCTTGCTAGTTGAGGGGGTGAGAAGGGCTGAGAGGATGTCTCACTAACTTTCAGCCCAAGTTAGCCTAGAATCAGGATTCTAAGTAAACTGGGATTACAGGTGTAAGCTACCTCACCCAGCCTGTGCATATAAACACTTGTGTCCAAGAGTTGTGCAGAGCCTATTACTGGATGCATCGAGGTTGTAAAGGCTGGAAGAGCCTGAGTAGCAGGTGGCAGTGGACCTCACTGCCCGGATTGGTGGCCAAGGGAAAGCCACGGGGACATAGAGATGATGGACAACCATGTCCTTGTGCGAACAGATGGGCGTTACAGTCTTGCCTACCTGAGCCTTGAACTCTGTTGTTCCAGAAGGCAGCATTGTGGGAGGAAGCTAACGGAGACCCGTTCTTCCTTCTCATGAGAAAGTAGTAGCCAGAGCAGAACCAAGGCGGTAGGGGTGGAGGAGGGTGAGTTTCTAGTTGTGGATGGAGATCCAACTAAGGTCAGATGACTTTTTTCTTTTCTTTTCTTTTTGCCAGTCCTGAGGCTTGAGCTTAGGCCTTGGGCAATGTCCCTGAGCCTTTTTTTTTTTTTTTTTTTGCTCAAGGCTAATGCTTTACCACTTCAGCCGCTGTACCATGCTAGCTTTTGTGTGATTCATTGGAGATAAGAGTCTCATGGAGGGCTGGGAAGGTGGCTCAGTGGTAGAGTGCTTGCCTAGCATGCATGAAGCCTTGGGTTCAATTCCTCAGTACCACATACACAGAAAAAGCTGGAAGAGGCATCGTGGCTCAAGTAGTAGAGTGCTAGCCTTGAGCCAAAAGAAGCTTAGGGACAGTGCCCAAGCCCTGAGTTCAAGTCCCAGGAATGGCAAAAAGTCTCATGGACTTTCCTTCCCAGGCTGGCTTTGAACAGCCATCCTCAGATCTCAGCCTCCTGAGTAGCTAGGATTACAGGCGTGAGACACCGCAGCATGCAATCCTATATATTTTGATGAGCCCTAAGCCAATGGTTGGCATCTTTAGAAGAAAGGGGAAGAAAGCCAGGAGATCAGAGAAACTGAGGTAGAAGCAATGAATCTACAAGCCACCCTACTTGGCTACTTTTCCCCATGACTGTGTGTACACTTAGCTACCCATGGAAATCGCTTCTTTGCATGTGGATATTCTACGGAATGGCTTTCTGTCTTGGTTGATGGAGATCTATTTTTGTTTCATTTGGTGTTTGTTTGTTCCTTTGTTTTGTGCTGGTCCTGGGGCTTGAACTCAGGGCCTGGACATTGTTGTCCCTTTTGCTCAAAGCTGTGGCACTTACTTCCAGCCCAGGATCCTTCCCCTCGATCTTTCAAAGCAAGATCCTTCCTTCCAGGTCTTTTACCCAAGCCTTCACCATGAGGAGAGCTGACAGCTGAGCATGTCCGGCCTCTGGCAAACCAGCATGACCGAATAGAAGGAGAATGAGAGAGCGATGTGACCTCATTTCCTCCTTCCCTGTCCACAGCATTGCAAAACCCAAAGGGCTCTTAGAGTTCCCATTGCCCAATGTCTTGCTGTGGAGAAGAGGAAACAGAAGCCCAGAGAGGGGAGGATACTCACCCAAAGTCACACAGCAAGTGAGTGACAAGCCAGGGCCTACTCCATTCTGAATGCTCAGCCACTGACATTGTTTTTTTCTTTTTCTTTTTTGCCAGTCCTGGGGCTTGAACTCAGGGCCTAGGCACTGTCCCTGCTCTACCAGTTGAGCCATAGTGCCATTCTCAGCTTTTTCTGCGTATGTGGTGCTGAGGAATCGAACCCAGGGCTTCATGCATGCTAGGCAAGCACTCTACCACTAAGCCACCGTCCCCCATTGGACTGATACTATTTTTCTGCCCAGCTCCTTTGGAGTCCCTCTGCCTGCTGGCTAACACAAATGCAGAGATGGTGTTTAGTGCTTTTGCCAACTCTTGAGCTGTCTCCAGAACTGGGACAGGCGAGCTCTGAAAAAGACGAAAATAGGAAAGCCTCAGGAGGCTGAGATCTGAGGATCCAGGTTCACAAGCCAGCCCGGACAG